CTTCTTTCTGTAAGGATGGCCTCTCCTCCTAATTTAAGAAAGTGGAGACTCTTGAAATGAAGTATTTCAAAAGGAACCTTTTATTAAGTAGAAGTGACAGCAGTGCATCCAAAGCGGCATCTGAATATCCTTAGTCAAGGTAAGTAGAATTAAACCAGTAGAGACCCCTCCCTTTAGCCAGAATGGCAGTATCACTTTTAGGGATCTGACAGTACCATTATAGAAACAATCATTAACTATCCTAATTGGGGGGGGGGGGGATTTTTGAGATTTGTATGGTTGTTGAAGTGAAAAAAGCATACACTTTTTATGAATGAACAGTTGCTGAAACACATTTTATATGAAAGCTTATTCCACTTCTATGAAATAATGTGTAGTGCCAATGGGAGCTATGTAAAAGGAAGCCAGGTATCTAGCCTTTTCTGCAACCAAGGTAAAATTACCATGGAGGACAGGTCCCAAGAATTAGAGGTAAAGGCATACCTACAGCAGACTCAACTGACTAGTAAGTTTTGGACAGATTGGTAAGTTTTGGACAGCTGTCTAATCAGCAACTATATAGTCAGTGAGGCATGGTAAATTGTATCCATGGCAAACCAAAAAAAAAAAGTTAGGAAAAGAAGGAAAGCTATATTTTAAAATTGTAACAGCTAAAAATGACTCTACATTATAGGAAATTAAGGCATCATCTGGAGGTCATGGAATTAAGGAAAATGGTTAATATGGCTTGTAAAAGCTGTAGTTAGGGGGATGTGTGGGAGAACCCTAACTGTTCCCTTCCTCTTAGTCTAGTTCCCATTTGAGCATTTGCTTGTAGAAACCAAGCAGGGAAGACAATAACCAAATAGAGCTCCTTGAAGTCAGTGAATAAAGAGAAGAATCAAAGTCTAATAAATACAGTATATTGCTCATACAGCTTGCACATTTCATGCAAAGATTATCTTCAGTTGGCTTCATTTCTCTAAATGTGAATAACTATAATAGGAAAATATGAAGCAGTTTTTGGATTAAAGTTATCCTCTCATCCTCTTAAAAGGCACAAACATGCATTAAAACATAAACCAGAGCTATATTAAATGCATTTGTTGTTGCATGCAAAGAATAGCAATAGCTATTGTTGACTACTGATCTGTACAAATGTATGGGGCTTATTATTATAAGAAGAAAATTTCAACCTGATGGCTGATGCAGAAAGCATGGCAGCTGTTTCATTTACATGTTTATAATGCTACCCAATGAAAGGAGGAATAACAAAGAAAAAGTGGATCAATTTTCTGCCTGATATATATATATACTGTATATAAAAATGCAGACAGAAAAGTCTGCTGTTGACTGGAGAAACCAAACCAGCATCTCATATCACCCCTTGACATGCATAAGAGTTCTGACCTTTTCTGCCATCAGCTTTCAAACAAGTAATTAGGCTATTTATTAACTGAAAGTTTCAATTAGAGAAGGAAAATTAGTTTCTCCTTAAGTGAATAGCAAAAAAAAAAAAAGGTTGTAGGTTCTAGTCTTTCCTCCTGTCCTAGGGTTTGTTTGTTATTTTTTTTGTATGTAGGAGTTTTATTTCTAAATCGAATTTACTGCATCAGTTCAGGAATAAACATATAACAGGGTTATGTGCCCCATGAAGCATTTGGTGGTGGTAAAATGACTGGCATTGATAAAGAGACTGGCATCAATGCAAACTCCTACTTTTAACATCCAAATTTTTCAAAATTAATTTTGTTCTCTAACACACAGAAAAAGTGTTTTTTACTATAAAATATCCCAATGGGGATTTCTTTTTTTAACTGGAAAAAGTTTAAAACATTGTAAGCGATGATCCTACATGTATTTGCCTGAAATTGAGCTCAGTGGTACTTACTTTTTCATAGGTTTGTATAAGGTTTCATTGTCAGGCAACAAAGCTGGTAGATTTTTACATGCAAAGATGAATTTCTTTTAAATGAATACCTTTATTACCCTAGAGAACATTGGTTTCCATATGTGTACACCAATTATATTGTATTTATAAGAAAAAAAAAGCAAATTTCCCAAAACAAATTTCAGTCTTATTTAAAGAATATCAATCATTCACTTTTTCAAAACAAAAAGAACTCAGAAATATTCATAAAATAAATTATATGGTGTGCACATAGAATAAGGAAACTCTCTTTGTAATCCATTAACTAATATCATGTATGAAATTTCAAATCAAAGTATAATTATGGCTGTTCATTATGATTGACTATACTAGTGTTTCTCAATCTTGACAACATTTAAGAGAGTTGTAGACTTCAACTCTCAGAATTCCCCAGCCAGGCATGAAACACAGAATGAGTATATATTTGGGGCATTCTTTTGTTTACAAACTCACTTTTCAGATCTATTATCAGGAAATTACTCATCTAAACACCATTTCACAATAAAATTTAAAAGAAAAAAAAAGAAATACCATTTTTTTCTGAATCTTTATAACATTGTGAACATTATTTGCTCTTTATTTGGCTCTTTGTCCCAGCAGTCTTTTGCTCTCTTTTTGAGAGCAAATGTGCTGCCTGTCAGAGGGAGACTCTTCCACCCAGCTTCGAGAGCAAAATTGCTGCCCGACAGTTTGATTTTACCTTGCACTGGTGGAGTCCCTCCAGTGGGCTGGAAAGAACTGCAATGCTGAGCTGGAGAAAAGAAGCTCAGATCACAAAGACCCGACTTCTTCTCTCCAACCCAAAGCTGCAGTTCTCTTCTGTGCATGGAAAGCAACTGCCTGCCAGGCAGTTCTTAAGTTCCATCCACTTTATGACCCATGTGGTCACTTAATTACAACACCTGGGCAAGTTAGAATGCAGTTATAAGTCAGGTCAGGTCACATGGTGACCTACTTCATGACTGCCACATCTTATAGTATAATTCTGGGCTCAATTATGGTGGTAAGTCGAGCACTACCTTAGGTGTCTTTCTAAAGCTATGGTAATGCATCTTAAGACTTTTATGATCATATGCCTGATTGATAATTGCTATCAAATAATAAACTAGACTAGACTAGAATAACAGAGTTGGAAGGGACCTTGGAGGTCTTCTAGTCCAACCCCCTGTTAAGACAGGAAACCCTATACCATTTCAGACAAATGGTTGTCCAATCTCTTCTCAGTGTTGGAGCATTGACAATTTCTGGAGGCAAGTTGTTCCACTGATTAACCATTTTAACTCCCAGGAACTTTATTCAGGTATAAACAGAGCCCTACAAGTATTTATTAATTATCCATTTTTTATTCTTATACTGTTATATAAATTGGGGACTTTTGACATTTTCCTGGAGATACTGAAGTGGAAGAGATTTCCTACGGACAAAAAACCTTAATGGGATGTTGAATTATATTCCTAAAAAATGGGTTTATGCAGCGGTGGGATTCAACTGGTGTCACTACTGCTTCGGTCAGTGCCTGACGTGCAGTGTGTGTGTATAAAACAATTGCAAAAAACATCAGCTGTGCCATCCAGACAACTGACAAGCGCTGCGCGCGGGTGTGCAGCGTTTGAAAATCCTCTTCTTCCCTGCTTTTTCAACCTCAGCTGTGCCGCATAAAGCAGCTGAGGTTGAAAAAGCAGGAAATAAAGGACAGCCAAGAGCCCAGGCAGGCAGGTGGGCCAAACAGATGACCAAAAGATCGTCGCACCGAACTGGTTTGGTGTCTGCTGCTTTTCAGAGCTACTGATTTTATAGAACCAAGCCGAACTGGTAGCATCCCACCCCTGCATTTATGTTTGGGGCATGGCAATTTTATGTAAATTTACCTTTAAATTTATTTAAATTTAAATGTAAACTTACCCTCCCAATGGTAAGGAATTTACGCTATGAAACTCTTTACCTGTTTTTGAAGTCTTTGTGTTCTACAAATGAGAAAGGGTGTAGATTTAATTTAAGTTTATGGATTGAATTAGCTTTACTCTAATACCACTGGTTATTATATTAATCTCCCCTTTTGGTTAATTAGGGATTTTTGACTATGTTTAAATGTACTTTAATCATTGTAAAATAACAAGATATTTTTCATCATTACTACTTTGTATTCTTTTTTAAAAAAATAACCTTTTACTGTTGTAGTTGTTACCAGTGGTGGGATTCAGCCAGTTTGCTCCAGTTCTCCCAAAACAGTAGCTAATTGCTTGTGCAGTTTGGAGAACTGGCTGAAAATAAAGTGCAAGATATTTTTTCTTCTTCTCTCTTCAGTTAATAGCTCCAGGTAGACAGCCAAGAACAACTTAACAGGCTACTTAGTTGCAATAACAGCTGACACATGCCTTGAATAAAGTCAATAAACAACAGAAACTGATAGAATTAGGGCAGGGAAACACCTAGGAAACCCATCAATCACCCATCTAGGGATGTGATTAACCTCTTCCCTTCAGGAAGAAGGACAAGATTACAAACGTTTTCATTATAAAGGGTATTAACACTTCTGTGATCAGCTTATTCTCCCTGGAGTTCCCTAAGACCTTTCATAGCTGCTGCAGTGTTGGCTACTTCTGTTTTTTCCTGGGGGGAAAAGATACAGGAGGCGACAATAATGCAGCTTGATCATACTGGCTGTGAATTTAATATATGTGTGGTCCAGTTAGCAGTATTGCTTCTGTTGTGAAGCACCCAATTTAGAACATTGACTAGATTGTACCAGTTTGATGAAAGGTGGATCTCTCAGCTCTCTTCTCCCTGAGATTCTCTGTGTCAGGATTCCAGTTATTGCCCTAATTAAATCATGAGCCTTGAGCCAGCTTTAAAAAACTTAAAAGGATTTATTAGGAGTGACATACTGGCATGACCTGTATGAAGCTGACTCTGAGATACGTAATTTACAATCACCTATGACCCTGTTTCCCCACCCCTCTGGGTGTATCATAATTCAGATTGTCCAACAGAACATGTTAATGGCTGGGTGTCATCAATCACACTCTCAAAGAGAGGATTTTCGTGCCCAGAATACCCAGTTGCCTCAGTTACAATCTTTGTGAGATAAGCTTGGGATGTGCTTCTGACTTCATTTGCCATATGCTTCTTCATGGTTTTCCCCGCTTTCTTATGGCAACTTGGAAATCGGCATAGGAATGTTTTACAAGTTGACATTCAGCTCCCCTCACTTCTTGAAAGTGTCCTGTGCAAAGCAAAAACAAGTTGAGTACAGGTATAGAATTTAGGGTTGCTACCCCACCCCCCAGGCTTGGTTGGATTTTCTGCATGGAATTTTGCTATAAGGTGATCGGCCTGGACATTCCTACTCTTTACCTAAGATGCCTCTGATAAGGGGTAGCCTTTCCACTTAATTAAATATTGGAGTTGTCTCCTGTGCCACCTCAAATTGAGGATTTGCTGCACCTTATAATGGGTTTGGCCTCCTAGGACCACGGGGTCTGGGGGCTCATGAGGTAGAGGCCTCAGGGTCAATCCAACCACAGATTTTAAGTGGCTACTATGGAATATCAGGTGTATCTTCCCTAGCAGTCAGGGCAATTTCAATTACACCGTGACTGTGTTTATAATCTTTACTATGGGGAATGGTCCCATAAACTTTGGGTCCAGTTTCTTGCTAGGGAGTTTTAACCTCAGATATTTGGTGGAGAGGTAGACCTTCTCCCCCAACTGAAATGGCCATTGCGGGGCTCAGTGTTTATCTGCCTGTTTCTTATAAGTCTATGCCACTTTCGCTAGTGCTTTTTTAAACATTCTCCCAAGTTGCTTTCAGCATTGACATCTAATTGGTCAAGTTGAGGGGGATCCCTTGGATACTTAGGCATCCACTCACTACTTTGAAGGGGGTTAGTCCTGTGCTACTGTGAACAGCATTATTGTATGCGACCTCAGCGAAAGGCAGGAGGTCCACCCAATTGGACTGCTGATAATTCACATAGCACCTCAGGTGCTGCTCTACCATGGCATTCAGTCTCTCTGGTCTCTCCCCCCCATTGGTGCTTGGATGAAAGACTGAGCTAAGGCCCTGGGATGACCCAATAGACAGCAGGAACTCCCTCCAGAACTTAGCCATGAACTGGACCCCTCTGTCTGAGACAATTCTTTGTGGTACTCCATGCAGGCAGTAGATGTGCTTCAGGAACAGCTTGATTAACTGGTGGGCTGAGAGTAGTCCACTGCAAGGTATGAAATGTGCCTGTTTGAAGAATAAGTCTATTATAGTCCAGATCAACATGTTCCTCCCACTTTTTGGCAGCTCCACTATGAAGTCCATTGTGATCTCCTCCCATGGCCTCATCATCTCTGCTACCATTTGTAGAAGTCCGTGGGGTTTTCCTGGTTGTTTTTTCATTGCGGTGCAGATGGTGCAACTTTTCACATAACTGTCCATGTCTTTCTTTATGCTGGGCCACCAGAATTGTCTCCATGCTAAATGTAAAGTCTTTAAGAACCCGAAGTGGCCTGCCGGTTTGCCATCGTGGCTCCTCTGGAGGACTAGGGTGCATAGGGATTCTGGGACATTGAGTTTCATCCCCTTCCACACTAGGTCATCTCTTTTTGTCAAGATGTGTTCATTGTCCTGGAACCTCAGGTCTGCTAGCAGTTCACTTTTGAGTTTCATTGTTAGGTCACTTGCGGATTGGTCTTGCAGGTCGCAGTGTTGTCATCTGGTGGTTACTTGGGCAGCTATTTGGATAGGGGGATGATGGTGTTTACGACCTCCTCCCATGCACATTTATACTGGGGCATGCGGGAAAGGGTGTCAGCCAGAAAGTTCCTCCCCCCTGGATGTGTTTTTGCATGAAGTTGAATCAGTTGAAGTATTGAGCCCAGTGGACTTGTTTGAGTGATAGTTTTGTGGGGTCCTAAGGGCCTCCAGATTTTTATGGTTGATCCAGACTTCGAATGGTCTCTGCCCCCCTTTCAGCAGGTGGTGCCAGATTTGCAGTGCCCATCTCACCGCGAAAGCCTCTTTTTCCCATGCAGCCCATTGCCTCTCTGTGTCTGTGAGCTTGCGGGAGGTGTAGGCGCAGGGCTGTAGGCTTCCTTGGTTATTTCTTTGGAGTAACACTGCTCTCACTGCCACATTGCTGGTGTCCACTTGGATCATGAGGTCAGGATGCTTCAGCACTGGTTCTTTTGCAAACAGTTCTTTCAGTGTTTCAGGAATTCTGGGAGTTGAAGTCCACAAGTCTTAAAGTTGCCAAGTTTGGAGACCTCTGTCCTAGACTGTAGAACTTAGATAATCATATGCTTTTAGATGAGCTTTTATAGAAAGAACCCGCCTGTTTTATTTCCCATTCAGAATATCTTTGCTTGTCATCATAGCCAATTATCTATTCAGTTCAGCCTATAAAGCAAATTGCCCATTGCAAAATTGTATCTTGAAATTCAGCAGCTGCTTTTACCACAGAAAAACAGGTATAGGAAAGAACAGTTTTCAATAAGCAAGCTGACAAAATGTAAATATGAATGTGAACTCCCATTGCTTTTCTGCTACAATTCTATCTTCTGTACTTTTTCCCCCTCCTAAATTCCAGCATGTGACTGCTGGTATGAAGATTCATGTGGACTGTTGTGAATGTACCCTCATTGCCTGACATTCACAGTACACATTCTCACAACTGAGAACAGCCCCTCATACCAGAGTGTTACTATACATCAGGGAGGTCTGCATGTTTTGGATCACGACTGCCTTGGGAAAGAGAAGATTTTGTCCTTTCTTCACAGCCTCCAATTCAGGTTTGGAACCTGAAATCAAGAAGAAGTCCCTATAAAATACATCAGATCTTTGCTTGAAGGGGATTATATTTCTATATAAGAGGATAATATGCTCTAGCTGGAAATCTGTGATAGGTTCAAGTATTTATTTTTATTTTATTTGGTTTGTCAATTTCTTACAAGATAATAGGTATAAGTAAAAACATAGTTATGAATACTTGGATGCATATAAGAAAAATAAAAGAAACTATAGGACAGGGACAGTAGGCACATTGGTGCGCTTATGCATGCCCCCTACAGACCTCTTAGGAAAGGGGTGAGGTCAATAGTAGAAAGTCTAAGGTTAAAGTTTTTGGGGTTTGGGGAAGAAACCACAGAGTCAGGTAGAGTATTCCAGACATTGATCACTCTGTTGTGAAGTCGTATTTCCTGTAATCAAGTTTGCTGCGATTAACCTTGAGTTTGTATCTATTGTGTGCTCTTGTATTGTTGTGGTTGAAGCTGAAGTATTCATTGACAGGTAGGACATTGCAATGTATGATTTCATATACTATACTTAGTGTTCCATACTAGCAGGCTTGTAGACCTGCATTCCTATTGGTCCGGAAGAGCCGGGCCGTGATTGGACGATATAAAGCACTCGTGATTGGTTCGTATGGGGTTTGCTGCGATTGGGTAAAACCAAGCATGGCAAGCTCAAAAGTCTGTCATAGGCTGCCTAGCCGTGGCCAGCTCTATAAAAAGAGCTGCCGCGGCTAGGGTTGTTGTCTCAGAATCTGCTTACTAAATAAAGAGCTGTTGTTCACTACTTGAGCCTCGTCTTTCAATGGGACCCACCGACCATACTTAACACTTAGATTGGACCGAAGGCGGCGTAATTCTAGGTTTTCTAGGTCTAGAATTTCAAGTCTGGTGGCATAAGGTATTCTGCAACGAGTAGAGGAGTGGAGAACTCTTCTAGTAAAATATTTCTGGACTTTCTCAACTGTGTTAATATCAGATACATAATGTGGGTTCCAGACTGATGAGCTGTATTCGAGTATTGATCTAGGAAATGTTTTGTATGCTCTAGTTGGTAGTGTAATATTACCAGAGAAAAAGCTACGTAAAATTAGGTTAACAACTCTTAATGCCTTTTTGGCTATGTAATTACAGTGGGCTCTAGCACTTAGATCATTTAGAGATTAGTACTCCAAGGTCCTTGACATAGTTTGGATCATCAACAAGGTCTTGACTATTCAGCCTGTATTTTATTTTCTGATTTTTTTTGCCAATATGTAGGACAGAGCATTTATTTGTTGAGATTTGAAGTTGCCATTTGTTTGACCATTCTGATACATAGTCGAGGTCTTTTGAAAGGGTAGCAGTATTATCTGTGGTATTGAACAGCTTTACATCAGCAGCAAAGAGAACGCAATTGCTCTTAATATGATCACAGAGGTCATTTATGTAGAGTATGAAGAGAGTTGGTCCTAGAACTCTGCCTTGGGGGACACCACTGTTGACAGGTACAGAATTCGATAGGATGCTCCCAATTTTGACCATTTGTTGTCTGTTTGACAGGAACGCTTCTATCCAGTTATGCAGGTGTCCAGAGATACCATAAGATTTTAGTTTTAAGAGTAGTTTGTCGTGTACCACTGAATCAAAGGCTTTACAGAAGTCTATGTGGATTGTGTCTATTGCTTTGCCCTGATCGAATTGTGTAGTCCATATGTTTTTGCAGTGTAAGAGTTGCAGATTGCAGGATAGTTTTTTCCTGAAACCAAATTGTTTATTAGAGAATAGGTTGTTTGTTTCTAAGTAGAGGATGATGGATTGGTTAATAATTGATTCCATGACTTTACAGGTGACGCAGCATAAAGAGATTGGTCTGTAATTTTCAACTAGGCTGGGGTTTCCCTTTTTGAAGATGGGGATAACCGTGGCTTGTGACCATAGTTTTGGCAAGGAGCTGGTCCTGAAAGATTTTTCAAAGATTATGCTTAGAGGTTCGGCTATGGCAGTGGATAGCTTTTTTAAGAAGTAGGCACATATTCCATCTGGTCCAATAGATAGAGATGGTTTTAGATTGTGTAGTGCTTTTTCAACATTGTCTTCTGTAAAATTGATATGTATTAGATCATTGTAGTTGTCTGTGGTTCGACTAGGAAATACTGGGCATGATCCATTGCTGTTTACAAATACTGAGCCAAATAATGTGTTAAAGAGGTTGGCTTTAATGGTGTCATCATTGCAGTGGTTTGCTTTCCCCCATCTGTTGTAAACACAAAAACAAACCATCAAGATGCTAATTGGGTAAATGAAAGAGAGGGAGAGAAAAGTTCAACTGAACAGTGTATACTGAGTGGGAGAAAGAAAGAATGTTCATATGAACAAATGATTGCCTTAAAAGCCTGGCTAGATGATCACAGCTCACCTCAGTGGTTGGGTGGGAGGATGTTGCCTCAGATCCTAAATGAATTATTTGTTAGAGTTGACAGAATGGTGTAGCTTCTTCCAAGAAAGGAATGCCATTATAGAATGTCTAGATTTTGGAAATCACCAAATAGACCATATTTCTGAGGAAAAGCCAAACTTTAATAGCATGGAAATCATGGGACAGGAATAGGAGGAAGAACATATTACTATGCTGATAATTCCTGGAGGTTAATTGTGTCACTCAGAAGATCTATACATTTTTAATTCAAGAGAATTGTGATGGTGTGGTAATCCACTATACAGGAAAGAACTATAGAACAAATTCTTTTCGTGTAGTTAAAATATAATAATACCGTCAGGATTTAAACCATGGTTGGAGTTGGCTCAAGGTATCTAAAAGGTATGGAGCATCAAGTAATAGTCTCATTCCCATAAACAAATCAAGAGTGCAATAACTAAAGTCAAGCAAGTTAATAATGGTATATTAAGTAACTATTGAGATTATATTGTTGTTTCATCCAAGGTCAACTGCCTGAGTCAGCTATGTCACTTGTCTTAAAGGGAGAGCTAGCTCAGAGCAGTTCAGTACTCTACTACACTTTAATTCCTCATATTCAGTGCAAAGTAATCTTTATAGATTCATTGTTAGATTAAAGATACATAATAGGTAACATATAAATAATGTACTGATGAAACAGAAGTTATATGTGTCTCATTTCCCAGCCAACAATACTATAAGCTTAGAATAGAATAACACAGTTGGAAGGGATTTTGGAGGTCTTCTAGTCCAACTCCCTGCTTAGGCAGGAAACCATGTACCATTTCAGACAAATGGCTTACAATGGTTTTTTATAACATCTTTATAATCAAGGCTCCCTCCAACCAAGAGTCCTAGAAAAATTCATTTTGTAGAACTGAACTAGTTACCAAATATTAATTCAGTTATCAAATATTAAAGGGGAAAAGGAAGGAAGAACATAAATACCAAACTATGGAGAGAAAATAGGTCATTATGTATATTTTGTCTCTTGTTTGAATTAAGTAATATTTAAAATTAATCTTCCCCTGGATCACTATTGCATGCTCTAATGTCCCTAGACATGCTCAGGACAGATTAGCATTTTTCTTTCTTATACTTCACTGCTATAAAGCTAGCAGTAGATTAGCTCAGCATCAAAGCACTGCTGACGTTATGAGAAGGCCTGAGCTGCTTTCCATTTGGTACAAAATTCTTATCTAGAAATGCTTTCATTCTAGTGTTGAAGCTATTCTTCTCAAGAACTGACTTGCAAAGGCATCTGAAAATTAACTGCATTGTACTGCAGATAACTGAATGTGAACCCCTATGCTTGAAGTTAGGTTCTATGGATCAATTGGACACTTACTGCTTGGCGACATCCCTGCCTGAGCTGCTTCATTTTGTTGCTGGATGGTGATGGAGTCTCCAAAGAAATTAATTTTTGGTGATTTTAACCTGCTTTTATGTACTATTGAATCTGTTCAGTTCAGGAATTCATGGACACCATGGCAACCACAGGTCTATTCTAGATTATTGAGGGCCTCAATAATGTAGTCACACACTAGATCTTGTAGGGAGCAATATCTTGGGGGTGTTGAGGTGAAATATAAAAGATGCTACAATTAATCCCCTGCTATGGTCATGTCACTCTTATTGCTTTTCAACTGGCCAGTGCTAGCTCTCACCATGGAAAGCTTGGGTCACTTATGAACCCTGATAGGGAAATTTGGATTTTTTTTCTGGAGATCTGTAGGCTGTGTGGAATGTTCAGTTTCTTGTATCAGATTGCCCCTATATGGGCTTTCCCTGTTTGTTGATCCTGAGTGACTTCCTATTTTTCCAAAGACAGAAGTCACCTGAAAGAACAGAATAGATGCATACAGCATTATTGGAGGGCGATAAAGAGTGAATCCATCTGAACACATGTAGGAATCTTCATTAAAGATTATAATGTGATGATAAGAATGTTGATGGGGAGAAGATAAAACTGAGACTCTTGGTTGGAGTGCCACAGGGATTGACATTGTTAACTCTGTTTTAACAACTACATGAAGCTGTTAGGTGAGATAATTTATCAGCAAAGAGTAATGTATCCTATGTGCTGTGATAACCAATTGTCAATGTTCTGTTGAGGTCTTGTCCCAGTGCCTGAAGGTTCTTGTGTTTGGATACAGAGGAAGAGGCTTAAACTTAACCCTGACCAAACTGAGTTTCTGATTCTCTTGGATTATCAGTTCTGAATGAGGTTGCACTTACCTAAGCATGGTTGGTGCAGAATTTGAGGATCTTCTTGGAATCATACTTTCTTTTCAGAGATCAGTGGGCAGCTGTGACTCTTTGCCTAGATTCATCTAATATGCCCGTTGCAACATTTCCTGGAAACAAAATCCCTTCTCATGGTCATTCCTGCCTTAGTTAAAAAAGCTATCCACTGCCATAGCCAAACCTCTAAGCATAATCTTTGAAAAATCTTTCAGGACCAGCTCCTTGCCTAACCTATGGTCACAAGCCACAGTCATCCCCATCTTCAAAAAGGGAGACCCGAGCCAAGTTGAAAATTACAGACCAATCTCCTTATGTTGCGTCACCTGTAAAGTCATGGAATCAATTATTAACCAATCCATCACCCTCCACTTAGAGACAAACAACCTACTCTCCAATAAACAATTTGGTTTCAGGAAAAAACTATCCTGCAATCTGCAACTTTTACACTGCAAAAACATATGGACGACACAACTCGACCAAGGCAAAGCAATAGACGCAATCTACATAGACTTCTGTAAAGCCTTTGATTCAGTGGTACACGACAAACTACTCCTAAAAATAAAATCCTATGGTATCTCTGGACAACTGCTTAACTGGATAGAAGCATTCCTGGCAAACAGACAACAAATGGTCAAAATCGGGAGCGTCCTATCAAATTCTGTACCTGTCAATAGTGGTGTGCCCCAAGGCAGTGTTCTAGGACCAACTCTCTTCATACTCTACATAAACGACCTCTGTGATCATATTAAGAGCAATTGCGTTCTTTTCGCTGATGATGTAAAGCTGTTCAATACCACAGACAATACCGCTACCCTACAAAAAGATCTTGACTATGTATCAGAATGGTCAAACAAATGGCAACTTCAAATCTCAACAAATAAATGCTCTGTCTTACATATTGGCAATAAAAATCAGAAAATAAAATACAAGCTGAATAGTCAAGATCTTGTTGATAACCCAAGCTCTGTAAAGGACCTTGGAATACTCACCTCAAATGATCTAAGTGCTAGAGCCCACTGCAACTACATAGCCAAAAAAGCATTAAGAGTTGTTAACCTAATCCTACGTAGCTTTTTCTCCGGTAATATCACACTACTAACCAGAGCATACAAAACATTTGCTAGACCAATACTCGAATACAGTTCATCAGTCTGGAACCCACATTACATATCTGATATTAGCACAATTGAGAAAGTCCAGAAATATTTCACAAGAAGAGTTCTCCACTCCTCTACTCGTTGTAGAATACCTTATGCCACCAGACTTAAAATTCTAGAACTAGAAAACCTTGAATTACGCCGTCTTCGGTCTGACTTAAGCATGGTATATAAAATCATACATTGCAATGTCCTACCTGTCAATGAATACTTCAGCTTCAACCATAACAACACAAGAGCACACAATAGATACAAACTCAAAGTTAACCGCACCAAACTTGATTGCAGGAAATACGACTTCAGCAATAGAGTGGTCAATGTCTGGAATACTCTACCTGACTCTGTAGTTTCTTCCCCAAATCCCAAAAACTTTAACCTTAGACTGTCTACTATTGACCTCACCCCTTTCCTAAGAGGTCTGTAGGGGGCGTGCATAAGCGCACCAACGTGCCTACCGTCCCTGTCCTATTGTTTCTCTTATTCTTCTTTTGTTTTTCTTATATGTACCCATTTCATGTATTCACTACTATGTATAAACTTATACTCATTATCTTGGAAACAATTGGCAAATCAAATAAATAAATAAATAAATAGTTACTGTCTATGTGTATAGTGAAAAGTGCTTATATTGAGGCTGCCCTTGAAAACTATTTGGAAATTGCAGTTGGTCCAGACTGCAGCAGTGTGGACAATAATTTGTGCAATTTGGCAACTCATTGGGTTTTGTATCTTGCAGATATTTTTGGTTGAAATTCTCCATGCTTAGGGAGATTGATTTATAAATTTTCTTTTTAAAAGATGCTTCATCTTGCTTTCCAGCAAGGCTTTCTCAGTGCAAGGGCTCAGAAGTGGAGATTGCTTTGCAATAGCTATGGTCTGTGTGAAATTGGAATTTCTGCATGGTTGTTTGGGAATTAGAGACTTCTTGGGAAGTATCAGGTGACTCGACTGGAATAATGCTAGTGGATTGGAATGGTGTTAGTTCTATTTTGATTAGTCATCTTCATTAGTCTCTTGTATATGATTGGCACAGTACAATGCCCTAGAAATCTGGTGAGGAATAGGATTTTTTTGGAGTGTTAATGTTGTGAATAATCATGGCACGATTCTAGGTTTATTCCAGGTTTAAATAAAATTAATGTCATGGCAATGCCATCAATCTACCATGACATTCTATGAAAGAAATTAAACATGGATAACCAACTGAACCCTTGAACTTAGAAACAAGGTATACTGAATAACAATTGCATCTACATCAATTAATGTCCTACTGCAGGTGTGTCATACTTCTGGCATCATGTTGTCACATGATGTATTGTGACTTTTTCCCCCTTTGCTAAACTGGGGTGGATGTGGACAG